CTATCGCAACATAAAATGACAAGTTAACATGCATGAGCCCCTTTAGTCTTCTTACTCAAGCAACGCCCTTGAGTATGTGGCCTGTCGTCTTTCCTGTCAGGATGAGAGGCAGACGCCGCCGTAAGACCTCATCCGCTGAGTGCGTAGTAAAGCAAGCTTCTGTGTAGCCGGATCGGTCAGTTTTTGATTCGGGTCCTTCGGAAATACTCGCGTCTGGTCCAGTTCAGTTGGTGGATTAGCTTGTTTCTTAAACGTCAATACATGCGTGCTATATTCTGTGGATCGGTCCAGTCGAAGTGCGCCAATAGGTCCGTCAGTATTGAAGTTTAGGAACGTTGCGGACTTCAAGGATATTCTCTGCTCCTTCTTCTCTGGTGGGGCTCAGCACACACTTCGAAATCTCCTCACAGGGTACATCCAATATGAGATGAACGAGAGAAAGTATAGCAAACAAAACTCCATAGATAAACAAGAGACCAACTACCCTCCGATTATGATATTCTCTAAATGAATGCCGGAAACGAGACAAACTTTAAACCTCACTGGCGAAACGCCTCTTTGGTTTTGGCTCCCATGTATGATTTGCCACGATATTTTTTGTTACTCCTCCGCTACCAGTTATGGCAATGACCCTGAGCTCGAGCTCAATTAAATCAAGGTCATAGCTCGACGAAACTGAATCGTAAGCTGTATGTTTCGTCTGTTGCACTATTGCATTCAACGACCGCACTGGAATTGGGTAATCAAAGGACCACCACTACTGTGATGGAACTGGCATAAACTTCGGTGATTTTTTTCGCTTTTGTAAAATAAAACATAAACTCATTCCCAACCCAATGCCTTTTTGAACCAGCCTGATTCAGTCCTGTCCAATATTCGAACCATCAAGGTCATCAAATTCACCCAGAACGGCGTGAACTAGTTCCACCAAGCAATGCTGATATGGGTCCATGCTTGTACTGGGCTATGTAGCTCTTTGCATAAGTCACTAAACTTTCGGAATATGGCTTCATGATGTGATGTCTTGCCTGCCTTGTCTACGCAAAGAGCTTTGGAATCAGTTACTTTGCGTAGTGCTTAGATGTGCGTAAAAGTAGTATAAAAAATGCATGAGCTTCACAGAATTACCAAGTTGGCCAGTGCCCCGCATACAGGTGTTTTGGCATTGATGCGTATTGTGCATCCCGCACAATTGACGTCTTTGCCTAACAATGCATGCACTGATCTGGTAATTCCATGTATTTCGGATATGGAGTTAGGAACTATCCGAAAGGCTCAATCCTTCCAGTTTGAACGGCATCCACCCCTCCCCTCCCGTCAAACACACCCCTGGGCTTTAATGATCCGCTGACCACCCGTCCGTCAGTCGCGCCTGAATCAACCCCCCACTCCACCCCGCTCCCCTTCCCTCCATTCAAGGCTCCAGAGCCCGGCTCGCACGTCCGGCCTCCGTTTTATGAATAGGATCGCCTCGCTTCCGCCGGTGGCGCCGCAGCGGCCGCACTGGCCAACATATTGCACCTGCGCGCCGGGCGTGGCCGCCGCGACGGCTTGACTCTGGGCGCGCGCCGCGCCGTGCCCAAAGTCGAGCCGCCAGACGACGCGGCGGTCTGGCGCAACAGGTGCAAATCTGGAGCGGCGGCAGCTGGCGAGTCGCTGTTTCTGCTCCGAGGCGTTTTCTCAATGTTGGCCCGCGGCTGACGGCGGCGCGTGCCGCCCTATGACCTAGAGGTGTAATTGTCTTCATTCACGGCCGGGGTGGCCGGCGCGCGGCGTTTGCACGGGTGGCGCGCGCGGCGGGAGGAGTGACGGCTTACTGTCCCCGCCGGTGAATCCAGTCTGTCACGGGATGTCGGAACGTGTAATCAGTTTGTTTTTCTGGTGTAATGGCGAATTAGTCAGCGTAATTGGCCAGGCAGGTGCTATTTGATTTCAAAGGACAAAGTATAACGCGTGAGAATCCTACGTATGCAATTTTTCGTGGAATCCACGCCATAAAGCTCTTCTTCTTCAAACGCCGCGGGTAGTGGGAAAAAGCCAATTTGGCGATATAAACGCATACTCTGCCGCACTGAAGACCACTGCGGTCGCTGCACAACTCATAAGAAGCACTGCATCATAGTTATCCACTGGATCGTTAGGCGGGATTTCGGGCAGACGGAGCCACGGAATCGTAGGCATTGCACTGATTGATGGACATGCTGACAGATGTGTGGAAGACTTCTCCACATGCTGATTTTCCCGGGTAAAGCACGGTACAATATGACAGCATCTAAGCCAACTGACTCACAAAGTCATATTTTCTCTGAATTCCAAAAACAAGGTCCGCTCCGACAGCTGTAGGTAAATTTTTCCCATAAAAGCTCACAGCAGGCAATCAAAGATCTATTTCAATTCAACATCAAGTGTCGAAGTCATTATGCGCGGATAGTGAATGTTGAGGAATGTTGGCGTCATAAAACAGCTTGGGTGAGCCTCTTCCATGGTAAGATTTTGAGGCTGGGCTAATTTTGAGGAAAGCTGGTGTAGCCACTGTGTAGCCACCTGCCATACCGCTCACTTCACCCAGTGGGCAAATTATATATGTGTTTATATATCCCGACGGCTCTCTTTTGAAACGGCCGGTGTTTCTTTTGAACGAACACGCCCTTCAACTTGCCACTTTGTCACTTTACTTTCTCCATATTTTCACATGTATTCCCGTTAACTTTAACGTATGAATGCTACGTCTGTCATCTTTCAATTTTTTCCATCGTACTATCTCCCATTTTTGGCAATGTTCAGACAGTGCCCACGCTACAGGTCTATGTAATAACAGCAGGATTGTTTTTCTAGGACCGGAATGATTGAGCGCTGATCCCAGAAATCCATCCATTAAAAGGGTTCGGATCAAGTTTTTTATTGTCACCGGCCGCTTTCGCGAGTGTAGAGTACCGGTGCTTAGTTCCTTTTCCACTACTCTGCGATGATCGAGAGACCTCACGTCATTCGCTGGCGCAAGCCAAACGCCAATCAGAACGCGCTCGAGCGGTGACGTCATGAACTGTATGCCCTCGGAACAGCAGAACCGGTAAGTGTTGCTGTTGAAGTAGTCAAAAGAGCGACACGTGCTCGGGTCCATTACTCACTAGGTAGTCAGCAGGTACAGGGGGTGGGAGGGGATCACATTCGAGACATATAGTGGTCATTTTAGCCTGACCATTGCCATAAATAAGCACGGATGCAGCCGTAGCAGGATGTCGAAAAAGGCATCGGAGTAACCGGAGTCACGTGCTTGACCACTGCTGTGCGTACCGTCAGATTGTGTGCACTACTAGCGTTGCTTGCACGCGGACTACAGTCGATGGCCAATTCTCTGGCGTTGAAATACTGAGGCGTTCACTGAGATCCTCTGTTGAAAACCAGATCCTGCATTCCAGTGGACGAGAACACAGTTAAGTCCAGTTACATCGCTGAGCAGCCTCTTCCATTTTGTGCTCCTTGATCAGCAGTGCATAAATTCGCAAAGTTCCATAACATTACTTACCCGAGCCAAAGATGATGCTCCTCCTGACATTCAGAGAAGCATTGAAAGGTTAATGAAAATTTGACGTTCCTAACATTTTGGACAGATAGGACTATATGCGGGATGAAGGATGGGCCCGCGGACGTGTAGGGACGCTGCAGCTGAGACGTCTGGCCTTCGCGCACTACGATGTTTACATGAAACAGTACATACATCTGCGGCAATCTGAGCAATAACGTCTCGTACCGGTTTTTCCTTGAGGCTCTTGCAGATAAGGAAATCATAAGATTTCACTTCCACAAATACGACTGCAACGAAAGGAGGCCAGAGGACCACAGAAAGGAATGTTCAGAGAGCTGCAATGAAGGACTGCTTAGAGGACCGCAGAGAAGAGCTGCCCAGAGGAATGCAGTGAAGGACTGCCTAGAGGAATGAAGTGAAGGACTGCCCAGGGGATCGCAGGGCAGGACTGCCCAGGGGAATGAAGTGAGGACTGCCCAGGGGAATGAAATGAAGGACTGCCCAGGGGAATGAAGTGAAGGATTGTCCAGAGGACTGCAGTGCAGGACTGCTCAGGGGAATGCAGTGCAGGACTGCCGAGGGGACTGCAGTGCAGGACTGCCCAGGGGAATGCAGTGCAGGACTGCCGAGAGGACTGCAGTGCAGGACTGCCCAGGGGAATGCAGTGCAGGACTTCCCATGGGGATGCAGTGCAGGACTGCCCAGGGGAATGAAGTGAAGGACTGCCAGAGAGCTGTAATCTGCCCAGATAATTACAATGAAGGCCGTCGCGGAGGGGACTGCCAGAAAAAGACGAAGACTGCCGAGAGGGCCGTAGCGAGTGACTACCAGAGGACCGCATAGAGGACTGCCTAGGGAGCCGCAGAGAATTAATGCCTAGGGCACCGGAGAGATTGATTTGTTGGGCGAGGCAGGCCAGGGTATCTCAGTAAAGGATTGCCAGGGTGACTCAGTAAGCGCAGCCATGGGTCCACAGAGAAAGCTGGAAGAGCATCGCAATGGAGGACGTGCAGGGAAGCGTGCCGGTGGACCATTTCAGAAACGGGTGTGTCGGGACAGGCAACAGCAGCCGGAAATCGGAGGCGGACAAACCGACACGCTTTGACAGAAGTCGAGGTCCAGCTCACGTAAGTTCCCAGCGAGGTAGACGAAAAGAGCGCAGCGAGGAACGTGCCGACGACGGCAGCTGCCGGGGGACGGTTAGCGACGGCAGCTGCCGGGGGACGGTCAGCGACGGCAGGTGCCGGGGGACGGTCAGCGACGGTAGCTGCCGGGGGACGGTCAGCGACGGCAAGCCGCCGACAGTTGCATCACATCAGTCCACGTAACGCTGCCCAGCCCGCAGCCAGAACCGGGGGGCGGGTTTTTGCCGAGCCGGCCCTGCCAGCCCGATCAGTGAAAGCCGTCCGTGGCTAGCTGATAAAGGCGGCTCGGCGGCCGGCCCCGCACCAGTGAGTCGCGCCCGGCCGGCACCATGAACGTCCGGCTGTTGCTCGGCCTGCTGCTCGTGCCGGCCGCGGTGCACGCCGGCCTCATGGGGCGGCTCTTCCGCAAGCAGGACAAGGGCCACTGCGGAGACTACGGCAGCGGCGGCGCCTTCTTCGGCTACGGCAAGAAGGGTGGCCGAGACTACCGCGACAAGGGCAGATACCGACACTACAGCAGCCACGGCTACAACCACGACTACGGCGAGTACGACTACGGTCACGACTGCGATATCTTCTTTGGGTACGCCCGCGACTACGGCTACGGCTATGGTGACTACGGACAGCATGATGACTATGACCACCACGGAGGCTACGGCGAGTACGCTGTAGGTCACAAAATCCATCACGACGCTTACGGTGACAAGGGTGGCTACGGCCACGACTACGGCTACGGGAGCCACTACGATAGTCACGGCTACGACGACTACCACCACGACAAGGGAGGACACAGCAAGGGAAGAAGAGGCTGGTTCGGGAAAAGGCGTAACCATGGCCGTGGCCGGTTCCGCTTCGGCCGCAACAAGGGCAAGTCGAGACACACTGGCTATGGCAGCCATTACGGCAAACACGGCGGCTACGGTCACCATGAGGGCTTCGGCCGCTATGGCGGCTACGGCCACCACGACGGCCACGGCCACCAAAAAGGGTACGGCTACGGCGTGCCCGGCTTCGGTGCGGCGGGCTACGGCGGCGATCAGTACCTCTACGGGGACAGCCTGCACGACAGCCACGCGGGGCACGGCGCAGTGCACCTGACCTCTGGTCTGGACCATGATCTGGACCACTTGAGGGCCGGTCCGGACCACGGCGAGGACGCTGTCGGCGAGGGCGCCCTGCTGGGGGTGAAGGGCGCCGCGCCACCCGGCGTCCCGCACGCGGCGCCCGTGCTCGAGGTGCCGCGCGTCAAGTACGTGGCGCGCTACGTGCCCATCACGATCCCGGTGCCTCTGCCAAAGCTGGTGAAGGCCACGGCGCCGACCAAGGTCGCTGAAGTCAAGAAGCCGCCGCCCGAGCCGATCCAGCCGGAGCCGGCGCCTCCCTTAAAGGAGCCTGAGCCGCTTCCAGAGCCGAAGGCACCCGAGCCCGACTACGACTACGGCGGCGGCAACTTCGGCGGCGGCCACGACGGCGGCGACTACGGCAGCAGCTACGAGGGCGGCCGCGGCGGCGACTACGGCGGCAGCTACGAGGGCGACCGCGGCGGCGACTACGGCGGCAGCTACGAGGGCGACCGCGGCGGCGACTACGGCGGCAGCTACGAGGGCGGCCGCGGCGGCGACTACGGCCAGTCGGCGTTTCGTGCCAGCTACTTCCCGCCGCGGCGGGCGCGCAGCAGAGGCGAGGGAGCGCGACGCGCGGAGACGGCCGCTGACGCGGCGCAGTAGGAGCCGACGCCACCCGGCGGGAGCGCTTCAGGAGCCGACGCCGCCCCCTGGCGTTCAGTGGTCGCAGGCCACATAGGCGGCAGGAGAAACGCCCCGCAGCGAGCGAGAGGGGGGAGGGGCTGGCGAGCGGCAAGCTCACTGTATCAAGGTGTCTGGCTTTAAAGGCGTGTTCCCTGGCAAACCATGTAAAGTAGCCCTGCGCTGAGGAAGGCGTTATTTGTTCCCGTTCGTCTGATGGTTTACCGCACAGTTCTGCATTTGCAAGCCCTTAACTGGGTTATTGTGAGGGTGCGTAAGCCGTAGTCATCGGGTACTTATTGCAAGACGGATGCCGAATATTATCCCGCGCAGGACCATGCAGGGGCGCACGCAGGACTTCGCAATGGGAGTGTGGGGGGGGGGGGGGGTAGGCATAGCTGAGAATCCTCACTGGAAACAAAGTCAGGTGTGCAGTAGATGCCCACATTTCCTGTGGGTCGCGAAACCACGGCGCATCTTTTCGATCTTCTCATTGTTGCATGTCTACTTAAAAAATTTAACAGTCAGCATTTAGTGAGATACGTACAATACGTGCCAGGGGGGGGGGGGGGCTGTATTAGTGCGAAGCAGTAACAATCTGATGACGCATGACAGAGAGCACAGTTTGTAAATTATCTACGCAGTTTCAGTTGTTAGGAGCTGCCGCCATGTCTCGTTGCTTGTTATCAGCGGATTTTGTTCAACTCTTCCGAAGGAAATGACGATCTCTGTCAGTTTGCCTATAATGCATGTATATACGAGTGAAAAGCGATGCTGTGGACCGATGAGTGTGCCGATGCATGTACATATGTACAGAATACAGATGTCATTAGCATTTGCCACGTTTGAGTTCCAGGCACAAACTTGTGCGTTAAAAGTGGACAAAATTTGTCGCTGCTTTACCTATCGTTTTCGTTTTAACTCATCATGTCAGCGAGTAACTTGTAAAAAACGACATGCAACCGCAATCAGTGATTGCAAAGAATTAAGCTTTTAAATAGTGGGACGGTTGGGCCGAACATGAGGTACCAGTGGGGCACTGCTCAAGCTGCTCGTCTGGTAGCCCAGAGGTGCAGTGCTCGATTCCGCGCGGTGCCCGCTCTTCCTGCCAGGGGTAGCGGCAGGCAACGCCATGTAGCCTCAGCTGCTGAGTGTATCGTTGGGTATCAATAACAACAGGCCGAGCATGACTGGATTACTCAGGGCGGAAGTTTCCTTAATTTGAAATAAGAGTGACCCAGTTTTTGACCGCAATTTAACCGCAGATGTCCACATACATGGGCGTGCACACGAAGTGGTCGCTGTGGGTACGTGCATCCCCATACCCATATCAAATTTATCACACGATGTAACAAGTAAGTAAATTACTGCCACCCCATCCCCCAAACGCTCGAGTGTGTCCGAACAGGCTCACAGATGGGGGCTCCGCCAAAAGCATGCGGTCCTCCACTCAGTTAAGAAATACTCACAACACAATGTAGAAGGCCCCGAACGATTGCTTGGGCCAGAGCAGGCTAACAGACAGGGCTCCCAACGTAGAACTTAGGGCCCTTAATGCAAGAGGGAAGTACCCAAGACCAAATGTAGATGGCCCCAACCGATCGAGTAAGCCCGAGCAGGTTATCATATAGGGACCCTGACAAGCAGGGAGCTAGAATTGCTTTTGAAGTAGGGTGGGAGTGAAAAATTGCATCCCAAAAAGACCGTGCGGGAGTGAAAAAATCAATTCACAAAAGATGGAACTTATGAGCTCGTGACTGATGCTTCAGCAAACAAAGACATCTATTTCAAGTCGGCCTGGACGTAATATCAGAAACCTGACAAAACTGTTTTGTTTTTAACATCTTAGGACATTAAAGTGAAACAGAATACATTAAAGCATAGTAATTTCATGACAGTGTAATGAGCATGAACATTTTTTAACACTAATTATTTGATGTTGCACTTTGCACTTCCCTTCCACAGCACTTTTAACACAAAAAAGCAAAGGAATCCAATAACAAAGTAACAACAGAAAATTCAACAAGCATAAAACACTCAAGCAAGAAAAACTTGGACTCCTACACATCGGCTGATCACCAAGTCAAACACAATAGACATACATGCCCCTGGCTCTTGTTTAGATGGGGTCAGGGAAAATAAACATTTTGTCACTGTTTCTTACAAAATACCAATGCTTATTTCCATGAAAGTAGCCTAACTATGCCAAACCTAAAGAGGCCTTACTTCATCTCATCCTGTCTATCCTGTTAGTATCACAGCAGCAGTTGTGAGTTACTGATTCTTGCACAATTCCTATTGCCACTTGCCATGCACTTAACCAACTTAACTTAACTTAGAGTATCCCACATGTTGAACATAATCTCAACTCCCTTATCTGTTGACAGCATCATTTGTGATAAAAACATGATAAAGCTAATTTTTGGCTGGTTTCAACTTGCATTTTTATTCAGTTCATTTGTGTATCCTTGTTGACATCAGATAAAGTTGACAACACACAAATCAAAACACTTTAAATCACTTTAAACAACTTACTTTGATCGTCATGGTTAACCTATGTCAAGAGTAATAATGGGTTTGCTCCACAAAACAATTTCACTTCTCTAAAAGCAACATAACTTTGAGATGACCATGCCAGTATTGCTGCTTGCCTTTTCAGCTGAAGCAAAGGCATCTATTAGGACTTGTTTATTCATATTTAATGACAAAGTTTGAGATGTTGGCTTCACATTTTAAATGCGATGGTCTGACTGTTTGTTGCATGCTAATACTGAACTCATATTATAATTGCTATGCAGCTTATAGTATCCCTGTGTTAAAGATATAGTGCATATATACAGTACAGCTATTTGCCAGTCAGCAAACAATGACAACTATAGAAAGCATTTGGTTAAAGCAGCCATAAGAGACCACTTCAAGAAATTCTGGACAAATAATCAAGAATATGGAAAAAATAAGCCCATTGCATGCCTTGTGGCATCACAATTTGTCTTGCGACAAAACTCGATGGATTAAAACAGGGAATGGCTAACTCTGGTTACCAATCATGTGTTGAAAGCAAGTAAGGTAAGCAATTACTTGGTCCATAGGAGACTTACTGGCTTCTTCCTGCTCCCCCCAAAACAAAAAGTCAGTACCTTTTGCGTGGTCTGCTGGCAGGCAGAGCCATCCCACTCACCCCCAAATATAAATATCAATCATGCCCACCAGCCTACGAGATTAAAATGCGAAGCAAGTAAGAGGTGTGCATGATAAACACATCCGAGGGCAGAATTTCGCCATCAAACACTTCTGTAGTAGCTGCGTCAGGTCTGTCTCAAAGCTCAGTATGGCGGCATTAGGATAGCCTTGTCAGGTAGCCTGGTGAAATAGACACTCGAAAGGCTTAGATTTATCATTATTGAGCACCGCCATGCACCAAGAAAGCGGTTAACCGGATGTTTACCAGGGCAAGAATGGCGGTAAAAAATAAGTCCCGTGCTTTAAATTGCCTCTTTCATTCTCTGTGAATTGTTCACTCTTGGGTGCATATTAAACATGTTTGGGCGGCTGGCGAATTAATCCAATTTATGCATGAAATACGTGGAAGTTTGTAGTTGGAGCATCTTGCAGATAAATTGGTCAACATTTTCAGCAACAGATGGCACCTCTAAAGGCAATCGAAAAGGAAGGAAGAAAAAAGTGGTATCACACTCGTATGATACCAAGAAAAACAAAACCAGTTAATTAGATATAAAGACTGACACTTTTCTGGCAAAATTTTGCAATCAGCTCATTTGACTTAAAATCTGCTAATGTGAGTACTCAAATGGTGTTATTCATCTTGTAAATTTAATTTAGAAGACATTTCTTGAATTTTTCACTCCTTCATTTTGGGAGTGATGCAATGTAGTGGTCAGGTTTCCTCGGGGAAAAAGAACGATGTGGAGTAAAATTCTCTACCAGGCTTTGCTGGTGTTTGCACCAGGATCTGCTTTCGTGGTGTGGTGGTGAGACCAAACAAAAATACGGGATGCCTGAAAACCTTGTATTTGGCACACAGCTGCCGATTGTGATGCATTTTGTAAACAAACCAAACTTCATGCGTGCAAGCGGCTGGATTCACTTGGGTTCTTGGGCTTGGAGGTACCTGGCGCTCTTGCTCTGTGCATACAGACATGATTCAGATGTAGGTGAGGCAGGACGTAGCCATAGGTGTCCGGGTTCTGTGGAGCCTCGTTTATGCTTGGTGGTTCCAAGTGAGCTCGGTTTTAGATGACATCTGAAAACCTCAGAAAGCGAAATAGGGGTTTGGCATGTACGATTCGACAATGTCAGGCAGGAGTGAAAAATTCACATAAAATATGGGGAAAAGGCGTGAAATATTCCGCCTCATAGGGTGTTGCTTTACATCCAAAGTCAGCAATTCTAGGACACTGCTGACAAGCGCATAGGGCACTCTATTCAAATAATAAGCACCCAAAACCCAGCGTGGGAGGCACCTAAAGATCGAGCGTATCCAAGCAGGTTTTCAGATGGTCCCCGACAGGGGCACAGGGGCCCACAAGCGAATACCAAAACCCAACGTGCAGGGCCCCCGAACAATCCAGTGTGCCCGAGCACGTTAAGTTGGAGGGCCCCGAACGACCGAGTGAGCCCAATCAGGTTAACAGATGGAGCTTCGGCAAGAGCGCAGGGCCTAAGCAAGTGACGGAGAACTGAAAGGGCCCAGGCCAATGCGGAGGGCTCATGGGCGTTTCGTGAGTCTGTCGGCAGGTGAACCACGAATAACGTGAAGGGCCCCTGCGCAACCGAGAACACCCTGACAGGATGGCATGTAGGACTGCCGGGTGTAGTGTACAAATCCTTCGGACGAATGGAAACTTTCCATTCCGCGGCTTCTGAGAAGCCGCGGAAAACTCCTGATTGATAAGAGCGCCCCGGCACGCAAGCAGGAACGGCACCAGCAACAGGGAAGGGCCCTCCAAACAAATGCGAAGAAG